CTCCCGCCAGTTCGGCCTCCCGGTGCAAGCCAGCCTGGTAGGACACTTGTGCTAGAGGCTGGAGGAGACCGGCGGCTCCTTGAAACGAGACACCTCCCAAACCGTCCAGCAGAAAGGAGTGACCCACGGCTGTTGCCTTCACAGACTAGCGCAGGCCGTCACGCCTCCATGCCACCACCAGGCTTACAACGTCCATCACATGCTTCCCTGGGGACCGCTTGGGGAGCGACGGCCCAGGCAGGAAGGTCACTCCCACTGCTGCCAGAGACGGCCAAGGCGACAGCGATGCTGAGCCCTGATCATCACCAGGTCGCAGTTTTCTGTGACCCTTCTTTGGGCTTTCCACCCACATCTTCAAGCCAGGGTCCCGAGGCCACCTCGCCCGGACAGGAGCAGCACAGGGCATGCGTGCAGCCTGAAGTCTCTGCACAGCCAGCCGGTGGCCCTCACAGACAGCGAGCCCACCGGCCCGCCACACACGAGAGGATCACAGGGAGGGGAAACCAGACGTGGCAGGAAGCAGCCCGTGCCCTCCTCCCCTGCACACCCAGCGTCCTCCCGAGCATGGAGCCCAGCCTGGGGATGACCTCTCCCCAGGAAGAGTCCACTCGGTCATGGCCAGCTCCAGAATGCAGCCCCTGAATAACAGCCCCCAGGAGACAATACCCCGCCCCTGAGCCTGTCACTTCCCTTATTGGACCGGCGGTCTTTGCGGATGGGGTCAAAGTACACGTTCCCCAGGTTAGGTCGCAGGCCCTGCCTGCGGCCACATCTTCTGAGGAAGACGCAGAAGTGTGAGACCCGCCGAGATGCCACAGAAGACGGAGGCCGAGGCATGCAGCCACAGCCAAGGGATGCCGGGAGCCCCCAGGGGCTGAATGAGTCGGGAGGGACCCACAAAGCCTGCAGGGGCATGGCCCTGCCCACCTCGACTTCAGACTGCTGGTCTCCAGAGCTGTGAGCAGATAGATTTCCACAGCCCCCGCGTCCATGGCGACGGGTCAGGATAGATTTTCAGGCCCCCACGTCTGAGGAGATGGGTCAGAGCCGCCACCGCAAGCCACTACAGCATGGCTCTCAAGGCCCAAAAGTCTCCTTCGCGTCCTCGTCCATGTGTGGGGCTGGCACGTGCTCCGTGACACCCGCATCCTCACTGCCTGGGCTTCTTTGCACCAGGGCCGGGAGCCTTGGGAGGGAGCCCGGTCAGACTGGGGTGGCTCAGAGCCAGCAGCCACGCAACCACAATAAAGAGGAAGAGACGGGTGGGCACAGACGCCGGGACATCCTGGCAGGAGCCGTAGAGGCACCGCACACTCCTGATGGTGCCCAGACTTCCTCCAAACTCAGCACTCTCAGCTCGCGCCACGCCTCGATGGTCAGCCTACCCATCGTGGGGGCTGGAGGGACAAGAGGAGGCCACAGCTGCCGCAGATCTGGGCCGCACTGCCTCTCGCCGGGCCCGGCCATCCCTGACCACGGCAGCTGCCTTCTCTCGCCCCGGCCGTCCCTGCCCAGCAGGGTGGCCCACAGTTGCCAGCGGGTCAGATTGTCCCCGCCGGCTCTTGGGAATGGGCAGCAGCCACAGAGGGTCGCAGAGAGGAAAAGGCAAGAGCCGATGCAAAGGGGATTCACCTAGGTGTCCGACGTCGCCCGTCCTTGACCAGGAGAGTGTCACGGTCAGGAAGGCTGTGTGGTGGCAGGCGGCTATCCCAGAGGGGGGCATGCCTGGCGAGCAGCAGCGGGCTGTCCAAGAGGCCAAGAGGTCTGGGGCCTCGCAGCTCAGCGTTGAGAGGCCTCGCCCTGAATGTAAACAAAAGTCGCTTCCAGGATGGCGCGGCGAGCCTTGTGTCCCCCGACACAGGGACAGCGCCCTCCCAGGGCGTCTGCCGCAGCCAGTACTCACCCGCGTGCAGCCCGCCCAACCTTGGGGATGGAACCTCTTCCTTCGCCGTGACCCCTGAGCCGGCACGCGGGTGGCTGGATGCAGCACCCAGCCTCAACGCCGAGTCCCCTGCAAGCCCCCCGGTCTGGCTGCAGGACCACCTGGAGACGCTCTGAGAAGCCCTTCCCCTCGAGTTGTGCTGGGAACAGGACGGCAGCAGCCTGGAGGAGGCGGGCAGGCTTCAGAGCTGACCTTCCAGGAGGACAGGCAGGAGGGGAGGCCCCGCCTGTCGGGGTTTCCCAGGAGAAAGTCAGAGTCCGCAGCTGCCGTGGAGGCGTTCTGGGAGGCACAGTCTCCCTGAAAGGCCGACGGCCTCTGGCCAGGACCAGCCTCGAGGACGAGCCGCTGCGAGGCCACACGGAGATCTGAGCTCAGAGGGGCCCGTGCTTGGGCTCGGGATCTCTTGCCATGCTGAAATGCTTGGTACCCTCCCGACACAGGGTCCCCTATTTCCCACACCGTACTGGGGACTTATGAGTTCTGTGGTCAGGGCTGTTTCTGGGTTACTTCACCGATCTGTGTCCTACACTCTTATGTGTCTCTTGTTTTTACTGTTTTTCTTTTCTCATCAACTAAAACTATAAACCTAAGGGCCCTGTGTGTTGCTCACCAGTCCTGATATTTTGCCTTGACAGGGCTGAGCATGCAGGAGGTGCCCAATAAATGTACATTCTCGGATGCTTTTACCTGGCTCTGTTCACTAATTCACTCAACAAATATCCATAGAAGGGCAAAGTTTGCCAGAGAGCAGTAGCGCATGCCCGTAATTGCAGCACTTTGGGAGGCCAAGGCAGGAGGAGCCCAGGAGGTCAAGGCTGCAGTGAGTGGCGAGCATGCCACTGCACTCCAGCCTGGGCAGCAGAGTGAGACACCGACTGAGAAAAATAAATAAATAGATGAAGACGGAAGGGGAAGGATATGGCAGAGTTTTAGTGCCAGGAGGCTGCTGAAATCCTTTCGGTGCAGAGGTTACCAACAGGTGCCAGCAGTGACCTTCGGGACGCACAGGCTGTCACCGGGCCCTGCTTGACTCCCAGCCTCTGTCCCTGCAGTGAGACAGTGGCCTCAACGTGCACGGGCCGAGTCCGACACCAAGGGGACGACACGTGTGAGCATGTCCACAGCTCACGCAGACTCCATCCCGCCAGGGCTCTCAGGAGCCCCCGTGGGGCTGGGGTTCCAAGCTCCCGTTTCTCTCTGCAGGAGTGAGCAGCCCCGAGGCACGCCGGCCGGGCAAGTCTCCCCCATTCAGCGTGAACTGGGTGGTGGGCAGCGTGGACCTGGAGGTCACCAACGCCACCACGGGGCGCAGGAGCTGCGGGGGCTCGTCCAGGCTCTGCAAACACATGTTCTCTGCACGGTGGGCGCGGCTGCACAGCCGGGTAGGTGGGCCCCGTCCTCGGGCCTGCAGACCCCGCGCGCACCCAGGGCCTGCTTGCAGGACGGGCATCACTGGGTCTGGCGGGGGACACAGGCTGCGGGACGCGGAAGTCGGTTCCTGCCGTTCTGTCCTTCCAGCTGCCCGTCCTAGAGCATTTCCCCACAGGCCAAGGCTTGGCAGCCCCAGGCCCAGTCCCCAGACCAGCAGCCACCGCCGGGAAGGTGGCCCTGGGAGTCGAGAGGAAGCCAAACTCACTGGAGACCCGTGGCGGGGCCGGCACCGCTGTCTGCCGCACCCGGGGTCCAGGACGGCTCACAGGCATGTTTTGAAGCCCGTATTCCTCCCCACTGAGATAGGAGGAAGTGGACGCTCAGAAAATTGGTAATTTCCCAAGTTGCACAGCAGCGAGTGTCGGGCCAGGAATCTCACCCGGCCCCAGGCACACACACTGCACCGCACCCCCATTGGGAGCCTGCCTTCTCCTTCCAAGCGGGCGCCACAAGGACATTTCTGGGTTCAGAACGGAAATACGCATTTTAATGTGTTTCCAAAGCACAGCAGACAGCCACCAAAAAAAGAGCAGATGACAGAAAAACAAGCTGACAAATGCTTGGCTAATTTTCCAACTTTTTAATCCAAGCAACGACTCCAAGCAGGAAGCGTAGTTGGGTTAGTTTACCAATGAGCAGAACGGGGCAGACACAAAATACACACAGTTGCCGACTTAGAGGACGCTGCACGCTGTGCACAGCTCTGAGCTTGGCAGTGACTTTTGCCTCGGCCACGAGCCACGGACATGGGTGAGCGGCCGCATCCCCGGCTCCCAGCCTCCGTCCTGCACCCCAGGGAAGCCCCGTGGCCCCTCTTCTAGAGACCGCGGCCGGTCGGGGTGTCACCGCTCTCGCTGGGCACAGGTGGCCCCTCTCTGCACGGGGCAGGGACGTCCTCCCGTGGGTGGGCTGTGGCTCCCCTGCCTCTCTGGGACACCCTGCGGTGGGAGTTGCCCCCCCCGCCCCGCGCTCCCCACTCCCGACCCCGCCCTGCTGTGGGGGCATCGAGGCCACATTCAACTGCCGCCTGTGGTGACTCAGAACCCGACGGAGGAAACGCCCGCGCCTTGGGGGCCTCCGGCCGGCAGACGGTTCCACCCCAGCCCTGCCGGGGCAGCCTGCCCAGGGCGGCTTTACCACAGCCGCCCTCGCTCCCCTCCACGTCTCGCGCCCCCACGCAGGGTCTTGGTTTTCACAGCTGACCGAGGTCACTGACCGCTTGCCGAGGCCACTGACCGCTCATGCTTCTGATGAAGCGGCGTTTCCTCGACACGGCTTCCGGCAGAGTGCCCCGAAGCGTGGTGACCTCCACAGCAGGCGTCCTCTAGCATGGCGCCGCCTGGTTCTGAGGAAAGAGGAAGACGAGCAGAAGGCCGGCACCCGGAGCGGGGGTCTGTGTGAGCCACGCCCGGCGAGGCTCCCGTCCCGGCCAGGGCTGACGCGCTCTTCCTTTCCACCCACAGCTGAGCCCACGGACGCCGCGCCTCGGAGACACGCCGGCCACGTACTGTGAGGCCAAGCTGGGCGCGCACACCTACCAGGCGGTCAAACAGCAGCTGTTCAAGGCTTTTCAGAAGGCCGGCCTGGGCACCTGGGTGCGCAAGCCCCCGGAGCAGGACCAGTTTCTACTGACTCTCTGAGGCACCGGACTCCTTGCTGTTCAGCCGAGCGAGCCCCGGCCAGGACGGGGCCGCGTCTGGGGGCGCCGGGGCGTGTCGATCGCTCCCTGCACCTGTTTTCCCTTGGTGTCCCAGAAACACACGTGTGTCCGGCGTCTGGGTGAGCAGCTGGACTGGGTCTCAGAGCACACTGCTCTCCCCGGGTTGACGCGTCCCAGAGCCCCGTCCGCCAGACCTGGGGCACAAGTGCTGTCCGCGAGCCGTCTCCCCTGGGGGCGTCCAGGGCAGAGTCTCCTTCCAGGACAAGCGGGCTTAGCCGCGGTCTCAGAACATGGCGCCGAAGCGTTGCCAGGTGGGAGTCAGCCCCAGGCCCCCCCCGCGGTCCCTCCCCGCCACGCACCTCTAGCAATGCGTCTGCGTCTCACCTGCCCAAGGTGTGCGACTCTCGAAGTCAAGCCACAATTGAAGCGAAAAGCCATGACCCCCCCCACAAAGAAACCAGTAAGAATGCTCTGTCGTTTCATTACTCACTTAGATAGCTCACGCCACCTCCTTTCAGAAAGGCTTTAAGATGCACGATAAGAAAGAATGCCCACGATGGAACCAGGGAGACAAAAACCCTTCCAGAGGAAGACCAGCCACGCAAAGCACCCGGGGGAAGGTCTGTGTGCAGGGAGCCGTCGCCCAGCGCCCCGGGGTCGTGAGCTGACCCACCTGCTGAGCCACTCACAGGGCTCGATCTCCTTGGTGGAGAGCGACACCGCTGAGGTCAGAGCGGTGTAAGGGCTAGCCACCCCCTTGCACCCTCCCTCCCAGGTAGCAAGGAGCCCGAGTCTTTGACCAAATTCTGACTCTGTCGCCAAATCTTTATGAGAAAGCAAGCCTACACACACACACACACACACACACACACACACACACACACACACACACATGCACACACACACACATCACAACGGCCTTCACTTCCAGCTTGAGGAGCTTCAGCTCTTAGTTTTTTTAGGCTCGCCCATCAGCATCTTGCATGAGGAAAATCACTAGAAGCAGCTCCCAAAATGCAAGAGGCAGAATCCTGCGGCCTTCAGAGCAGGCCCTGGCTGCACACGACGTCCCTCCTGCAAGGAGGCCCACGCGTGCAGGGGCATGGCACTGCCTGGGCTTTGGTCCACCCACATACCACGATTGCTTTCTTTCACCCCGAGAGCTCACTTCCGACATTCCTCACGCAAGGTAGCAGTTAGCTTCTCCAACTAAAAGCCCATACCCAGCCGGGCTTGGTGGCTCAGCCTGTAATCCCGCGCCTTGGGAGGCTGAGGTGAGTGGATTGCCTGGGCCTGCGGGCTCGAGACCCGCCTGGGCAACTTGGTGAGATCTCATCTCTACAATCAATCAAAAATCAGCCAGGCGTGGTAGCGTGTGCCTGTAATTCCGGCTACTTGGAGGGCTGAGGTGGAAGAATCGCCGGAGCCCAGCAGGTCGAGGTTGCGGTGGCCGGGAGCGGCCGCTGCACTCCAGTCTGGGTGACAGAGTGAGACTCCAGCTCAAAAATAAATAAATAAATAAAAGCCCATACCCGCAGTTCACGAGGTGACACAGCCGTGCACAGACGTGGCGCCCCGTAGAGCGGGGCCGTCCTGTTAGGACCCCAGCTGACCTCCCGCGGAAACGCAGGCATCACGTCACGCTGTACATACTCACATGCTCTGTTCCAGTAGGTTGCAATCAGGCCGAAACGGAGCTCACAGAGCAGTAGCCGTCTGTTACCCGACGGTAAGAAGCAGACGTGTTAGTGTGCCGATGAGAACTCTTCCTGGGGTTTGATACACGGCCGAATGTATCACGCAAGTTCTTTTAGGAAAGGAAACGGGCCCTGGAGTCAAAAACGTCTTCAGGACAAGGTCTCTAAAGAAAATGTTTTTGCAAATAGATGGCTCATATGGATTTTTTAATTAAAAATTGAGGAAATAAAGTGGAATCTCAATTCATTGCGAAAGCTGAGGTCAAGCGGCCCGTTTATGTTCGTGCCCAATGACTTGACACTCTTAGGATGAAGCTCAGAGACCACAGAGCTGAGAGCCGGGGTGGGACTTGGGTGCCGCCTGTGCCGTCAGGCCAGGCTCTTCCCTGATGTGGGCAGGCAGGCACGGTCACTCCCCTGCTGAGACGTCGGCCCGAGGCGCGTGCATGCGCTTTGTGCAACCCGCTCCCGCCAGCGCGGTCACGACGGTGGCCCTCAGCTCTCGCAGGAAGCCCGCGGGCTCTGATGCCAGGGACTGGGTCGTGGTTTGCTCCATCTCAGGCACGGGCTCTCCCAAAACAACTCAGACCTTGCTGAGATACAAGCGTCTGCTTCTGGGACGGCCACATACGAGCCCCGTTCCGCCCACTAGCGCCAGGCTACGGATTAGTTTAAGGCAACAGGCGCGTCCTTGCAAGGAGAGCTCAAGGCTCTGCAGAGAAGAGTCCTTGGTGCCGTCAGAAGCAAGTTTGAGATGCCAGGGCTTTTTCAGGGGGTGTCTGCCGGAGGAGTGCGGGGTGAGAGGGAATGGGAGGAGCGGGGGAGGGGGCCCTAGGCTCCGGGCGGGCGCAAGAGAGGGTGTGTGGAGACAACCAGAGGTCGACCACACGGAGCAGAGCGGAAGGACGTGAGGCTTCCCTGCTCTCAGGCACTGGGGCAGCCACACAGGGTGGCACCACGGCCAGGCTGTGCCACACGCAGGCTGCGCTGGCCGGCACAAGCCCGACCCAGCCAGGGCGCAGCAGGTCAAGGGACCCTGGCGTGCCCCGGCTAGCTAGGAGGGACAGGGTCGTGTGGGCGGAGACGGGGCTGGCGGTGAAGCCTGCGGATTTCGGTCTCCAGGCGACACCCTGGTGCTACCTCTAGCCGGTCTGCTCTGCATCTCGGCTGCCGAACTAGAGCCTGGGGGGCGGCCCACCCGCCACCACACTGCCCCGGGGAAGCTGCCACAGAGAACACGCTGGAGGAGGCCACATGGAACTCCCAGTCACCCTGAAAAAATGTGGACAAAGTGAAAGGAAGACAGACAAGTCAGGGACCATCCAAGCACCCGGTCATGCAGATCTCCCTGCCCACCTGAATTTGCCACAAAATTGCCACCCCGTGTCTCCTTGTACCGCGTACCACCGGATGGTGCAAGGTTCTTTGTTTCCAGACGTTCTGTGTTCCATGTTGATACTTACCTAGCGCAGCCACATAGTCCAAATAAAATCAACAGCTGCTTTGTCTGCCTGCAAAACAGGCATCGCTGTCCTACGGGGAGGTGAGCGACTCCAGGTCGCCTGCCTGGCTCTCGGCCTCTCAGTCAGCGCTGAACACTCTGGGCCTTTCACAAGATGGAGCCAGGCAAGCCCACGCGTCCATCTCCAGCCTGGACCGCACGGTCGGGCAGAATATCACGTTACTGACCCCGGGGTTTCTTTGGTTTTAGCTTTTGCCAAGGGCAGGGTTTGGGGTCTACACCCCCGTTTCCCTCGACTCTGTGCACCCATCAAGCCGCTGCCCATTGCGTGAGGAGCTGCGGTCTTCCTCCGAAACATCGAGCTGAGTTACTTTTCGAACAAACACATAGCACATGTTTTTTCAATGCAATTTTCCTTTCACGGGAAGCTGTTCTTATCAATATAGTTCATGGTTTTTTTGGTGTTGGGTCTACCGCCTCTGGAGAGCCATACCCAGTAAGTAGATAGAACGGTAATGCCCACAATACAGTAGTGAGAGTATTTTGATGAAATTCTATTTTTAGATGATAAATTCCAAGATGTGTATATAGTATCTTGCTTAAAAAAAAGTAAAAAGACGTTTGAAACTCAAATAAAGTAGACTTTTTAATTTAGGGAAACTTATATACCCATTTCTTAAGAAGCCATTTTTATAAGATACTCTGTCTAATTAGCCCGAAACACCATCAGTGGCACTCTCTGACAGACTTAGAAAGGCCTTTCTTTTATGGGCCACCCTCTGGCCGCCACGGCCACCTCTGTGGCAGAAGAGTCCCTGGATGTTCAGGAAAACCCAGCCAGCCTCTGCTGTTCCCCAACAGGGTCTGCAGGGATCAGGAAGCCTCTGCACTCCTCGGAAGCCTTTGCAGAGCTTAGGGGTGGGGGAAGAAAATCAGACAGCCACACAGCCTCAGGCAACTCTCGAGGGCACAGACCACCCAGGCCGGCCGGGGTCCTTGTGCGCTGCCATGAAGCCGACACAACGCAGGCAGCGACAGGGGACGCAGGGCCTGACTGCTGTCCCAGGCAGGGCCTGACGCGTCGTGCCTTGGAGCTCGGCTGTTTCTGGAAACACTGGGACGCTGGTGGCCCCTGTCAGAGTTCGCCCACACATTCTTTTTTCTTTTTTTTTTTTTGAGTTGGAGTCTCACTCTGTCGCCCAGACTGGAGTGCAGCGGACGCTCCCGGCCACCACAGCCTTGCCTGCTGGGCTCCGGCGATCCTTCCGCCTCAGCCTTCCGAGTAGCTGGAATTACAGGCATGCGCTACCACACCCGGCTGACTTTTTGATTTTTATTGTAGAGATGAGGTCTCGAGCCCGCGGGCTCAGGCAATCCACTCACCTCAGCTTCCCAAAGGCGCGGGATGACAGGCTGAGCCACAGAGCCCGGCGGCCCACACATTCCGAATCGGATTAGCCAAGGAAGGATGGCGGGGAATGAGGAGACAGGAACAAGGAGGCGACAAACGCCGCTGTCGGAGGGACAGCCCAGAGGACACCATCTGCTCAGCTCCAGCAAGCCCACGCTCGCCTCCCCTTCCGCCCCTCCTCCCCCACCTCCCGCTCCGCCTCCCGGCTGCCCGCTCTGCTCTTCCCTGTCCCCAGACCCTGGGCACCCCGGGAGGGATGAGGCGGTGCTGTGAGCAGCTCAGGGCCAGGCAAGAGCCTGCCGTGTTTTGGATGCCTCGTCTGCAGGGTGCGCTACAGTCTTCCGGGGGGCTCCTGGTGGCCACATCTTCGGAAGCCAGACCAAGCAGGACTACCCCTGCCGGGACACGAGGACGGGCTCAGACCTCAAGGAAAGAAATACCTTACTTCCCAGCTCGTCATTCCACGGTCAGTTTGCAGAGGTGACGCATCCGCTAAAAACGAAGACCACTCGCCCGGATCCCAGTGCCTCTGTCCACACAGGCCCGAGGTCTCCCCACTCGGCAGCGTATGCATCAGGAAAAACATCTTTCCTGGCAGTGCCCGGTTAATTTTCAGCATTTCTAAAGCAAAATGAACTTAATACACAGCGATTCTAACTGAGGTGCGTACAGAAAAGTATGACTGAACGGCAATATCGTACCAAGGGATGTACATTTGTAATATTTGTTTAAAAAAACCCCTAAAACCTTAAAATATGAATTTGCATAAGTTAATGTGCCTCGAAGTTCTGTAACTTGCACTCCTGCGGCGTCTGATACACGATCGTCTCTGTTAAGTGAACAAAGATGTTGAGTGAAATCGGCCTTCCCTGGACTGGTGGGCTTGCTCACCAGGAGAGTCCAGGGGCCTCGGGGTCGAGGCCCAGTCAGCTCGGAACCGTCTGCCTCTTATGGCCGGACGGACATGGCAGTTGCCTCGGTAAATATCATGACTCGTGCCAGTCGCCTTGTGGCACGATGGTCCTGCCAGCCGGAGTGTTTTGCCTGTGCGGCAGAGTCTACGTAAAGGAGCTAGTGAGGACGTCACAGCACTGGGAGCCAGAAGGCTCCCGAGTCCCTGTCGGCTTCTCATTAACCGGGCGAACTGGAATCGGTCTCTTCCTGGGCACTTTACACCTCGACTGACTCACGAGGGTGAGGGACACACCTTGCCCCACTGTTTGTGAGGTTGCTGAGGGGCCAGATGGCGTCCTGGGGGGAACTCTGACCCGTCTCCTCCATCCTCGAGGAATGTTCTGACA